TTCAATTGTTTTCCCTGCAAGAAGCTCTTTGATGTCCAGTTTAACCAAAGCACTTGTCCCGGGTGCCAGTGTTGACTGGCCCTTCCTCAGTAATGACATGTACTAACAGCGGTGTTCCCTGTTTCGACCTTTCATGCAGTCTTTCTCCTGCATCAATTACTCCAAGACCAAGAAACGGCGCGCTCCGAAGGTCCCACGGATTCCAGCTCTAGGTCATCATCCTCTGGCACTGCGATGCTGTGCACTGGGACCATTGTGATCATGACCTGGCCGGGTGGAGTCTGCTCTGTCCGCCGTGCCCTCGCTCTAAGATTTGAGATTCAACGACCACTAGACTCAGCTGGCCTTCTGACAAAAACCTCAAAGTTTAAAAATCAACCAGGCCCGTTGTCCAATCTGATCGATCGTCTCTTGTGGCTGCGATCCAGCGAAACCGTTTGCTGCTCGCGGCCTTCTTGACCTCCGCGAGCTCCTCCCTGAGGATCTCGTTCCTGGGCTCCCGAGCTCTCACCCGATCGCTGCTTGGGTTGGGAGTATGGGATGTCGCACTCAGGCCAAGAGCCTACATTGGAGGAAGCACCTGAGCTGGAAGGTTTGCTTCTCCGAACCCCAGCTACAGGGCTGCTGAAGCTGCCGCATAAATCTGAAGGTCCTTCCATACCACTGCCCCTGACCAGGCATGGGCAGTGACTGTACGGTGATGTTCAATGACCAAGACGACGACTGCCTGTGACATACGGTGACGACAGCAGCATCCATTGTGAGAAAAAGTGGGTAACGATGCACAGGGCGATTGTGATGACAAACACCAGCCGCTGCCGAGGATTGTGGCGACGATCAAGACTGCAGATGCTAGTGAAGATAGTGTAATGAAGGTATCGCCGAACCCCCTCGGGCAGGCTGCTCCCGCGCGTAGGCACCGGTCGCTTCAGCGACTGCCTGACAGAATGTGGGCACACAACTGGAAAACCGTCAAAAGCGCCGCAGCAGCAGCGTGTCGTTGTCGTAGTCGCAACACATGCTGCTGTGGATGTTGTTGCTGCTGCTCCTTCTAGCCTTCTACCACTGCTGCTGCAGCTATACTGCTACAACAGCTGCTGCTGCCACTACTACTACTACTACTACTACTGCTACTGCTACTGCTACTGCTACTGCTACTGGTACTGGTACTGGTACTGGTACTGGTACTGGTACTGGTACTGGTACTGGTACTGCTACTGCTACTGCTACTGCTACTGCTACTGCTGCTGCTGCTGCTGCCCTTCCTCCCGCACCGACAGCAGGAAGCCAATTGCAAATCATTGTAAACTTAAAACCCCAACCCCATTGCCCTTCCACATGGAAGCTAAAACTCTGAGTGCCACAGCCAACAAACTGGACGGCCTCTACGCGCTTTCCCCATCTTCCCCAACACTGTTGCTGCCTCTCGCCGGATTCCTGCCACGAGGTAGTGCAGATGCTCGGAGGTTTTCAGCGCCTGGCCCAGTTCCCAACAATGTCAGGACGTCATACCTGATTGTGAACTTGTAGCTACCAAAAGCATGAAGCATCAGGATCACCAACCCAGCCCACAAGGAGGAGGATTCCGTCGGAATGCAGAAACATGCGGTCTCGTTGTTGTGGGCCTCCTTGTGTTGTTTAATCTTTTTTGCAATTATACGAAAACCCACCATCGTGAGGACCTCGTTTACAGAAAGCTGCTGAACTAGAAACCACAAACACACCTAGACATGCCCGCTGCGCTTCGACCCACCACGGTAAGTACTGGGATGCTTCTACACTAGTCACAGCATTTTTGCACCGGTGAAATTCACAAAATGACTTCCGCGACCCGTCCCAGTATCACATCAGCTTGCAGCAACGTCTACACCTGTGAGAAGGAAAATTAACGGTCAGGGCAACAGCAACAACGACGGCACATTGTCAGCAAACCAGTAGGCTGATCAGAAACCTCACTCTGCTCTCAGCCAAAGGGCATGACCCAACTGCTGGTCAGTGCGGGCCGTAGCCACCTCCAGCACTACTCCCAGTCTGCGCATGTGGAACTTGACCCCAATGTCGGTTCTGAAGCTCTAACTAAAGCTGCCGCTGCTCCTAGACGACGACTACAACTCTGCATCCTCCTCCCACTACTATTACAGCTGCTACTTCTGCTAGTACTAACTACTAGTAGACGACGAGGAGGGAGCACAACTACATGCGATACTTCTGAAGAGCCTTTTGATCAGCAGGGTCGTTCAGAAAGATGGTCATGGAGTCGGGTCTGCGTGAAGGTATCCATCTGAAGGAGAGTTTTCTAAGCATTTCTGATCCGGAGAAGCCAGTCTTTGCAGGACAGGCTTCGAGTGACCCAACTCTCACTAGCGCAGGACCGCAGGTGACCCATGCTGAAGCTTGCCAGATCTTTCGGGAAGTTCCAACAAAGCTCAAAAACTTGCTTCACGTAGCATTCCTGTCACTACGTACGCTAGAAGCGGCTCGCGTGATTCGAATGCTTTTAACCTTTGAATGGTGCAGCATGCTTCAGCTTTATCAGCCAGCTGTTTGCAGGACCGGAGAGGGTCGCTACCACTGTGTCATTGTTAATGTCCGCAAGGGAGTAGTTGTGATTGCAGTTGCTGCTGTTCCCGTTTGCACGGCTCTGTCCCATCATCTGTCATTTTCACAGCTATGCTGCTACGCCCACGCATCACGACTTGCACCTGTATAGCCTTGTTCCCGAAACCTGTAACCTCACAAACTTGACACTCCGTCCCCCTATCCCGAAAACCTTACCCGGCTTAACTGCATAAGCCCCGAAGCCCCAGAGTCTCTCTTTGCGTGCGCTTTGGGACGCCTGGACTTCCTGGAGTGGCGACTGGATTGAAGAGCTCCTGAAATATTTGCTGTTGGCGTGAAGGGCGACGGGCGTGACTTGATCGGTTTCGGGTTTCATGGTCCGGTTGTTAGTTTGGGAGGGGCTGTGGCTTTGGGTTTCGGGGTGGGGATACTCCAGTTGGCATCGCAGGTCTGTGGTTCGTGTTCTGAAAGCCCTCACATGAACCCTCAACTGCGACAGCAATACGGTATACTCCCATAGTTCTCGTTAATACCGTGAGTGCGCAGACAACCTCTTCCTGCGACCCAGGCTCCCTGACAGAAGGCCGCTGCAAAGGGCATCCAGCTCAGCCAGCTGTTGGTGCAGCGCCTTCAATAGTAGCAGGTTTTGGAACCGCAGCACTACCACTGCAACGCAGTGACAGCACGTAATGCAGGGATGACAACAAGCTGCAATGGTACTCTCAAAGTAGGCTTGTACCTGCCGCCTTAGAAGGCTGCTTGGCCAAAAGTACTGCTAGAGCCTGCGCATTACTCCATAGGAACCAAGTCCCTCCACCAGTTCAACACTCCCCGGCGAGTAACATGTTGTCCCAGAAAAGTGATGCCTACTCGTCTGGAGCTCCCTCCACAAAGAACGGGTAAACAGCCGAGCTTCCACCTGAATCCTACTTGGAGAGCTTAACGGCCGCGTGGAGATCTCGGAGCATGTCAGCGGGGGCGCTACCCGATGAATTGCGGTTTAGTTCGGTCAGAGCGCTCCAGATCATACCATGGCTCTGAATGAGGTCCGTGCACTAAGGAAGCTTGCACGCTAGCTCTCATGATTAGACGGTGGCCCGTGCTACTATACCGTGGCCTGATCAGGGCCCTGACCTCTGCCGCCCGGGCTTTGTACTCAAGTGGCCCCACCGAGCACCGCACCTCCAACTGCTTTTGAGCGAGGGCGAAGACCGTCCCGGCTTGCTGCAACTGATGGCCCAACTCATCCTGGCTGAAAGGCTGTGGAGTTTCAGGGCTTCAGCCGTTTCAAGCTTCAGGACTGACGACTGCCTGAAGCCCTGAGCTCACATCTTGGCCAAGCGTACCAACACATGCCTCCCGAGAACCAATGTTGAAACCCGGGGGCCTTGACCCTCAACCTTAAGTGTTCCACTCGGGTTCAGGTTCCTTTGGTCCAACTTCAGCCAGGGGGTTGTCATAAACTCAAGCGCTGCTTCAAGTGCTTGTTCAGCTCCTCGTCATAAAACAAAACTCAGCGACCGTGTGAGAACAAGTGCCATCACGACTGTAGGTTCCTCGTTTTGCGTTCAGCTGCAGCTAGTGACATAGTTGTCCTGCAAGGAACTTTGTCGAAACTCGCTAACAAGTTCGCCCGCCTTTGCGGCAAGTGCGGAGTTTCCCGGGAGCTTCCCCGTCTCCTTGCCTGTCCAAAGAGCAATGATGACAGCTGTAAGGGCACAAATCGCGGACATGGCAGGCGGCGATGATATTGTTCACAACAAGACGACACATGAGAAGAAGGACAAAACGTCGAAATATGCAACAAGTGTGAGATGATCGGCCCAATGCCATGAAGCCCAATCCCGTAAGCCTATGAGTAGGATGTTCGGGCACCACTTTGGCGCCTGCAGGCTCCGGCATGCACCCTGAGCTCTAAACTCTAGAAGGGAGCATGCAGAATTCCACTGTGTGAAGGCCATTATCTGGTTTCGGCCTCGGCAACACTGGGGGAGTCCTTCCGGGTATTGACAGGAGCTGCGGTTCGAGGCAGGCTCCAGCTGCAAAGCTTTGGTAATCACTGATGCTTTCAAGGGCTAAATAAAGCTTTGCGCTAACACTCTACTTGCACCCGAAAGGGATCCAACGGTTTTGGGTGTCAGAAGCCATGTTCCAGAGTTGCGAAGATGGGAAGAGCAACTCCGAGATGTCAAGGGCACAACGAGGTAATGAGTAATCGGTGCTGTGCTAAAGAAAGACTCGACATCCAAACTACCATCGAGAAAAGCGGCAAAGGTAGTACATGGATAAGCAACCACAACACCAGGAAATCCCCCTGAGATGTAAAATGTAAACAGACCAGAGCAACAAAAGACTGAAGTGCAAAAAGCCTGCAAGCCACAACCGGAGGCCTTTCCCTGCAAGCCGTGCTATATGGCCAAGCCATGAACTCCAAAATCGAAAGTTTGGAAAACCTACTGTAAACCCTTGGCCCGATACAGCCCCAAGCCGCCCCTGCCTAGGGCAAGCGACGGGCCCCCCGGAGGCGTCATCGGTCGATGGCCTGGGCAGCCTCAGATCTTTCAGCAGGTAAGGGTCTGCGGCTTAGGGCTTGGGGGATCGCGGCTTCGGGTTTGGAGGACGGATATTCAAACTTCTGCTGCATGCTTCAATAAGAGAATGAAGAGGTAGCTTCTTGCTCAATCGCCGGAAAGCCCCGAAGCTC